GCTCGTCTCGCCGTACGACGGCGAGGAGGACGAGGAGGGCGGAGATAACGAACTCACGGCGCTGGTGCGGCAGCTGGAGTCGTTCGCGGAGAAACGAACGGGGACGGGACAGGCGCCGCGAGGGGCGAACGGGACGAGCGGGACGACGCGCGGCGAACGGGAACGAGAACGGGAACGAGGAGGGGATAAATGGAGCGTGAAGAGCGGAGATAGCGGCGATGGACGATCGATGAACGATGAAAATTCGTTGGTCGGGTACTCGATGATGTACGGGAGCACGGTGGACGACGATGGGAGCGCGGCGGACGCGGATGAGCTCGCGAGCGAGTTTTCGGTTGATTTTTCGCTGCCGAGCGAACGCGTGGCTGGGGGTGCGACGGCGAGGAACGATAAAAAGAGCGAGCTCGGGAGCGTGAGTGGGCGGATAAACGCGGTGAGCGATAGTTTAACGACGAGCAAGTCGCGATTGCACGAGAGCATCGCGAGCTTGGAGCTCGAAGCCGGGTTGACTGAAAACGGCGCCGAGATGGATTTCGAGCAGTACAAGGACGACATGCCCGTGGTCGGGAACACGAAGACCGGTCAGGTCGTCATCGATTTAGCCGCGAGAGGCGTGAACTCGCTCAGTCGATCGAGTTCGCAGTTCATGGGCGAAGGCAAAGGCGGTCGGGGCGGCGACGGCGCCGAGCTCAGTCCGCTTGTGCGAATGTTCAATAGCGTGTGCGGCGGTTGTTGCGCCCTGCGCAAGTGACGCCGCGCGCGAGATGACAACCACCACTAGCTACGGTGGGTGCGTGTAAAACTAAACAGCGCAGCGCGACGCGATTCGACGCGACGCGCGCGCTCGAATCGAGACGAGCGTCTCTCGGCGCCGCCGCCGCCCTCGCGCGTCACTTCGAGCCCGCCCGCCATGCCGCGACTCCTCTCTCCACGCGCCCTCGCGTCGTCGCGACTCTCCCTCGAAGCGACGGTGCTTCCGGGTCGTCGCGCGCGCGCCTCGCCGCGCGCGCGCGTCGCCGTCGCGCGGGCGTCCTCGCTGACCATCGCTCGACCGGACGACTGGCACCTGCACGTCCGCGACGCCTCAAAGCTCGCCGACGTCGTCCCGTTCACGTCGAAGACGTTCAAGCGCGCGCTGGTGATGCCGAACCTGACGCCGCCCGTGCGCACGGCGAGCGAGGCTGAAAAGTACCGGGAACTCATCGCGAAGGCGGCGCCGGCGAGCGACGGATTCGAACCGCACATGACGCTGTATCTCACGGATAACACCACGGTAGAGCAAGTCGAGGAAGCGCACGCGTGTGGATTCGTGCGAGGGTATAAGCTGTACCCGGCAGGGGCGACGACGAACAGTGAATTTGGGGTGACGGATGTGGCGAACGTGGCGAAGGCGACGAAACGCATGGCGGAACTGGGGCTGACGTTGCAAGTGCACGGAGAAGTGACGCACGCGAGCGTGGACGTGTTCGATCGAGAGGCGAGATTCATTCAGGACGTTTTGATGCCGCTGTTGGATAGATCTCCGGATTTGAGGGTGGTGATGGAACACATCACGACGCGCGACGCCGCCGAGTTTGTCGCCGCGGCGGGGCCGAACGTCGCAGCGTCAGTGACGCCGCAACACGTGCTGTTCAATCGTAACGCCCTTTTCAAGGGTGGTTTAAGACCACATTTCTATTGCTTGCCCATCTTAAAGCGTGAGGAGCATCGCGAAGCCGTGCTCGCGGCGGCGACGAGCGGGAGCGGCAAGTTTTTCCTCGGCACCGACAGCGCGCCGCACCCCAAAGGCGCAAAGGAGGCCGCGTGCGGGTGCGCGGGTATCTTCTCTGCGCATGCCGCGTTGCCACTCTACGCCATGGCTTTCGAATCCGTCGACGCGCTCGACAAGCTCGAGGCGTTTGCGTCGCACAACGGAGCCGACTTTTACCGCGTCCCGCGTAACACCGAGACGGTGACGTTGGAGAAGAAGGCTTGGAAAGTGCCGGATGAGTACAAGTTTGGTGACACTACGGTGGTGCCATTTTACGCGGGTGAGGAAATTCCGTGGAGCGTGGTGTAATTAAAATCGACAACAAATTGTAGGAGACGCGGCGAAGATAATCAGCCATTACAAATTGTACGCCTCGCAGCTCTTGACGCCGTTCTCCTTGCAAAACTCGATGCTCAAATCCCAAAGCTTCGCGTTAGACTCGGCGTTTTTCGCGCGCGGCGCCATGGCATCGGCGCCGAAACCGGCGAACGCTTTGGATAAGAGAGGCATGCCGAACATGTACGTCGCGCTCTTGTGCATCTTGAACAGCTTGGACATTTTAATCTTGAACGGCATGTAAAGCGTCGCCTTTGTTATGGACGGCAGCGACGCCGCGTTCACGCTCGTCATCGCTCCTTGCGCGGGCGTCAAGGCCAAGATGCTCATGATCTTTCGCAAAACCGGGTTGTAATCTCTCCAAATGTTGCTCGCCACGAAGCCCGGATCTGCGGCGGCGCAGACGATCTTGTTATCCGGATACGCCGCATCCAATCGTCGCTGCAGCTCCACCGTCATCGCCAAACACGCCAACTTGCTCGACCCGTAGTTCCCCTTCGTCTTACTCGCACCCTTGTAGTAGTACTGATACTTGTTTGACCCGAACCACGTCGTCACCGAACTCAACGCCACCACCCTCGCGCCGTCGCTCTTCATCAACTGCGGCAACAACAACGACGTGAGCATGAAGTGTCCGAGATAATTCACCCCCATGCATATGTCGTACCCTTGTTTCGTCGTCTTCGGTCCACTGTATCCGCTCGCCCCGTTCAATCCCGCGTTATTCACCAAGACGTCCAATTTTTCATACTCCTTCCCAAACTTTTCCGCGAACGCCCTGACGCTCGCGGCGTCGCTCAGATCGAGCGCCATCACCGCCACGTCGTTCGCGCCCCCGTTTGACGCGTACTCGAGCGCCGCCCTCGCTCTGTCGATCGAGCGACACGCCATGACGACGCGCGCGCCGGCGTCCGCGAGCAACCTGGCCGTCTGCAACCCGATCCCGGTGTTCGCGCCGGTGACCACGGCGATCTTACCGCGCATGTCCACCGCGCACGCGGCGCGAATGCCCATGGCGCTTCGTTGGACGACGTCGACGACGGTCGGGCGCGATCGCGCGCGCGACGCGACGTCGCGGCGGAGTGACGACTTTATCCACTTCGCTCGGGACACTTTTCGGCGCGACTCCGAGGCGCGACGCGCACGTCGCGACGCGCCGACGCGCTTCGACCGGTCGCGCGCGCGCGGACGAGCGACGATAGACGCGGGCGATCGTCGAGACGATGCCGGCGCCGACGCGACCGCCGACGCGACACCACCACTTCGAGACTGGGACGTACAAACCGAGCGGGCTGTTCCTGCCGGACGACGAGTACGGACGCGCTTTGGACGCGCTGGTGAAGGGCTGCGTCGATTGCTTGCTGACGAACGAAAAGGGAGAGGTTTTGCTCGGGCTGCGCAAGCACGAACCGGCGAAAGGGACGTGGTGGTACATCGGTGGACGGATGCGCACGGGGGAGACGGTGGAGGAGACGGCGAGACGGCACGCGAAGCGAGACATCGGGATCGAGATCGACACGGAGCGGTTTCGATTCGTGACCACGAGCACGATGAATTGGGAATTTCGAGTGCAGGAGCCGGCGGGGAACGGGACGTGCGATATTAACGTGGTCCTCGCGGCGACGCTGACGGAGGAGGAAATCGCGCGCAAGACGATGTGCGCCGACGAATATTTAGATCAAAAATTTTGGTCCGTGGAGGACATCTTAGCCGTGACGGACGAAAAAGTGATTTTACCGCCGATTCACATCTCTGCAAAGAAAATGGTGTGGTCTGAACGCGAGGATGCGATGTACGCGGCGGTGGCTCGCGGCGCGGACGACGCGGAAATCGCCCGACTCGCGCGCCGCGCGTACGAGTTCGCGTGAAGCGTTCGACGTGGCGGACGCGGGCTTTCGCGAAGCCATAGTTAGACGCAATTGTTTTAATGATTGATGCGCAAATGTTTTCGTGTTGTTACACTAACTGACTAAGTAAGAAGTCTTCGATCATCGTCGTGAAAATTGGCGCGGCGGAGCGCACATCGTTAGCGCTGCCCATCCTTGCTTGAAAAAATGTTGTTTGTTTATCTTTGTCCGATATCGTTCGATTAGAACAGCGCGGAGCCGCCCATGATCTTTTCGACGATCGGCAACGCGACGAGACCGATCATCGCACCGCGACCGTTCGTCATCTCCGCCTCCGCGCGGAACGGCCCGAACGCCTCGGGCGCCTCGTCCAAGCCGTTCGGCGACGACTTCTTGAGCGCCGGCGCCAAAGAGGACGCCAAGGTCAAGATCACGCAGGCCGGCACGAGGAAGAACCCGGCCGCCGGGTACGTGGACGTGCGCGTGATGCCGTCCGCGAGCGTGAACGTGCGTTCGTTGAACAATTGGTGCATGAAGCTCGTGTTCGACGTCAGCTCCACGTAGAGCGCCGCCGTCCACCCAATCATCGCCGCGCGACCGTTGATCGTCTCCACCGCGCGCGAGTCCTTGAACGCGAGCATGACGGAGTCGAGCATGGAGTTATCGTTCCCGAGCGGCGCCGCTTCGGCGATGGAGCCGTCGGCCGGGTCGATCGCGTCGACGCGCATCGTCGGCTGCTTGGACGCCGCGTCGGCATCCTTCCACTCGGAGTTCGCCTCTTCGACCGCCTTGGAGACGTCGTTTTCGGCGCGGACCGCGACGGAGGCGCGGCGGTGCGCGCGCTGCGTCTTGACGACGGCGCGGGCGGCGAGTTGGGGGCGAGTCGTGACGGCGAACATGTCGTGCGTGCGTGTGCGAGAGTGACGCGATGCGGCGCGCCGTCGACGGTGACGTCGAATTTTGTCATTTTCGCGCGTCACTGTTTACGCATACGAGCGGTCGGTCGCGCGACACGAATCGTCGACGTCGACGGTTCGCGCGTGACGTCACGCGACCGCGCGACGAAACGCGCGGTCGCCGCGGTCGACGCGGTCGACGCGCGCGCGGTCGGAGGCGAGGCGTCGGCGTCGGCGTCGCGCGCGACGCGCGAAGCCCGCGGGGCGCGCGGCGAAGGGCGCGGCGAGACGCGACGGTGCGCGCGACGACGCGATGGACGCTTTATGACTTTATGGGTCCTCGGGACGAGGGGGCGAATGTTACAAGTTTGAGCGATGCGCGCGATTCATCGCCCGTCGCAGACGTCCGCGACGTCGTCCGGTCGTCCGACGATGACGTCTTCGCGGTCGATGGTGACCATGCCGAGCCTGGCGCCCTTGGGCTTTTTCACGTACTTAGGAGACGTGTACGAAACGTTGACTTTGCCGCCCGTTCTCACTTTCGAATGAAAGCTCGCGACGTTGGCGGCGAATTGGATGTCGTCGTCTGAGGCGGTTTCGCCTGGTTGTTGGCGAAGGATGACGTGCGCGCCCGGGGCGCCGCGAACGTGAAACCACACGTCTTGGTCTTGTCCGAAGAAAAGCGAAACCGCTTCGTTTCCGCGGCTATTTCTTCCGCAGTACACCTCCTTTCCACTCGGCGCGGTATAGATGCGAATGGCGTTCATCATCTCTTGCTTACGCGCTTGCTTACCGGTTTTCGGCTTCGCGCCGCCGCCCTTCTTCGCCGCCGCCATCGCGCGCGTCTTCGCGTCGGCGCCCTTGCCCGTGGGCTTTAAGAATCCACCGTCCACGAGTTCGGCGCCAATTTCCTCGATGAACAATAAATCGTCGCGCGATTTGAACTCGCTGACTTCGAGAATACTAAATTCGACGCCCTCTAAATACTCAATCTCGCTCGCATTTTGTTCGATGAGCGGCTCGACGGCGTCGGCGGTGCGACGCAGCTTTCTCGTCTTTTTGTACAGCGCCTCGGCGGTGCCCACAGGACCTTTCTCGGGATCTACTTTAAACATCACTGTCTCGCCCGTGGTGAAGTCTTGACCCTCAAGCTCGCTCGAACCAGGCTTATAGTTGTAACTGTACGCCATCAACGCGTCGGCGAGCAGTTGAATTTCTTCGTGCCCGCTCGCCGCCTCTAATTGCTTGCGGAACCCAACGTCTTTGCTCGCCAACTTTTTCAGACGCGCGCGCACGGCTTGTAAAATGCGCGAGCGTTCGCGCTCGAACACGTCGGTTTCGCCCGCTTCGCCGTACACAGCGCCGAAAAGAGCGCCGATCGGCCCGCCGGCAACGCTCAAATCGTCGGCGGCGGGCGGCAAGACGACGCCCGCGGACGACGGGTGCAATAACAACTGCCCGAACTCTTCGCACCACGTGGCGTTTGCGAGCGTACCCGCACTGTCGGCATCACTTGAAACGCTCGCAATCCATCGCATGAACTCATCGTACACGGCGACCCAATCGCTCGCACTCGCGGTTTCGACGCGCTCGCCATCGGCGACGCCCGCGCCGCGAATCAACGCCTTGGCCAAAGCCGGTGACACCCCTCGAAACGCGCGCACCATGCACTCATCCAAACGCGCTTCGCCCATATCACCACTGCGACCGCGTGCGACGTCGCGCAACACCGCGGTCCATCCGTCCACGCCCCCTTCAACCCCGGTCGTGGGATCGATCCCGGGCGCCGAGGGCGGCGGCTCGTACGCGTACCCGATCGCCAATCGCCGCACACTCGTCTGTTTCTCCCCAACCTGATACCCACACGCTAAAACTTCATCATTATTTTTACTATCAAGCAAGAACGCGTTGCTGTACCGCCCCATGACCTCACACAACAGCTCGTACTCTGCCTCACCTCCCGGCCTATCGCCGAATCGCAACCGACACGCGCGTTCCCACGCCGTCCCCACGCGCGCATCCAGCAGCACCTTCCCCTTGAGCAGCGCGTTCGCGCTCTCGCCAAAACTAAGATTCATCCCCTTCTCCACCTTGGCCCCGCGCGCGCTCATCGCGACGTGCGCGGTCACCGGGTGCCAACTCACTCGCACGCTCCGCCGTCCATCCGCCGCGCGCGCGTCCAGCGTCATCGAGTGCGCGTCCACCTGCGCGCACGCGTCGATCTTCACCGGCGTCGACAGCGCGTTTATCTCCCGCACGCTCGCGACGAGGGCGGTGTAATCGAACGTCGCGGGCGTCGCGCGCGCGGCGCGAACGACGACGAGCGAGCGGCGGTGACGCGGCGACGGCGCGCGCCGCGGCGACGCGAGCGACGCGATGCGCCAACGCGCGCGCGCGGGGATGCGTGACGCGCGGTACATGACGCCGAGCGCGGGCGCGGGCGGGCCGCGGGCGCGCCGCGGGCGGACGCGCGCGAGGGAAAGTGAGGACGCGGCGCGAGCGGGACGCGAAGCGTCTCGGCGAAAGGTTCGGCGCGCGAATGAATATCTGGCGATGAGCGTTGACACGCGCGCGCGTTCGTTCGGTCGGTCGTTTGTCTAGGATGTCTTGGCCGATTTCGGGGTGACTTCCTCGGCGCGCGTCTCGCGAAGGAAGACGCGGTCTTCGGGCTTGTTGTTCTCTCGCTCTTCGTGCGCGTACGAAGACGCGATGGCGAGCAAGGACCCACAAGGACTGAAAGCGAGCGCTGAGATGGAGGTGGGGTAGCGGGGCGACTGAAAAAGTCGCTTTTTAGCGTCGCCATCCCAAAAATTGACGTAACCGTCGCCGCCGCCCGTGGCGAATGTGCCGTGGACGGGATGAAACGCCACCGCGTGGACGGGATAAACAATCTCACCCACGCTCGCGTCATCGGTTTTGCGATGACACTTGAACGCATATTTTCGCTTGTCGTTCTCTTCATCGCGTATGAACTCCACCGCTACGCGTCCCTCGACGCTCGCGGCCACGAATCCATCGCCTCGGATATTTGCTGCGATGGCGCGCGTTTGAAACCGCATGCTCGAACGTCTATTTATCAACGGACGCGGCGGCGCTTCCGACGCGCGTCGTCCGTCATCACCATCCACACCGCGCACTAAATCTCGCGTCTCGTACGCCAAAACTTGCCCATCGCTCGTCGCCACGAAAATCTTACCGTCTCTCAAATCCGCCGCGTAGCACTTCCCAGCCGTCTTCGTCGTCGACACCGCGCGCCCTCGCTCGTCCTTCGTCAAATCCCACGCCCTAATCGTTCGATCCCAGCCAAACGTAAACAATTTCTTCGTCGCATCATCGTACTCCACCGCCGACACCGCGCCGTCGTCGTGCGCGCCGACGACGCGAAACGCGCCAGTTTTAAAATCGACGAGGCGCACCGACCCGTCGAGGCATCCCACGCACGCCGCGTCCTCATCCGTCCCGACGAACGTCCCGCACAGCGCGGGCGCGCCCAAATCGATCGAGTTCAACGATTTCACGTCCCCGATCTCGCGCGCGCGGCACGCGTACCGCCGCGCGGTCCCGTCCCAGGACGTCACCAGGAGCGTCAACCGTCGCGCCATCCCATCGTCGTCGTCGTCGCGACCCTCTCCCGCGCTGACCGCGCAGAACCGCACCGCGCTGACGCCGTCGCCGAACGCCGCGCCTCCGGCCCCTCGCACGTCGCGACCGAGGTCTCGATGCGCCATCGCGCGCGCGCGTCTCGCGCGCGCACCGCGCGCGCGTCCCGACCGTCACCGCGACGACGTCGTCGTCGCCCGCGCGCGCATCGGTTTATCGCCGATCGACGACGGTCAAACGCGCGTTCGGGCGCCGTCTCGATCCATGTGCGATCGCGATGACGCGCGCATAAATAATCATCGCCGCGACCGAACGCGCATTGCGACGCGCGCGAACGCCGTGTCGTGCGAGCGCGTCTCGCGCGGGCGTCGCGCGCGCACCGCATTTCGCGACGGCGGTCGATGCGGGCCCCGTCGCGCGCGCCGTGCGCGTCCGCGCGCCCGGAGGCCGGCGTCGTCGACGCCCTCGATGATCTCGCCGCCGTCGACGCCCGCGCGTGCGGCATCGGCAAGCTCACGATCGCGCACGACGACGACGACGACGACGCGCGAGGTCTCCGCCATCGCGACCGCGGCGCGTTCGCCCTCGATTTGCGCGCGTGGTCGTTCACCGCGCGCACGCAGCCGGTCCGCGCGCTCGGGGCGTGCGCGCGAGACGCGTCCGTCGACATGCGCGTGCCGTTCAGGGACGAATACGAGCGACACAGGGCGTCGCGACCGGACGAACGCGCGCCGCGAGGGGCGAGTTGGCGCATCCATCGAGTGCGAGGATGGCGCTTCGACCTGCGCGCGCTGTACGAGGAGGTGAAAAGACGCGGTGGCGCGGACGCGATCGATGGAAATCAAGGCTGGCGCGAGGTCGCGGAGGCGATCGGGGCGCACGGACGCGGATGCGCGGCGGGACACGCGGCGAGAGCGCTGCACGGGGCGTGGCTGGAGGCGTTCGCGCGCGACGCCAAGCGAAGAGAAGACGCGGTGAAGAGCGCGCAGTTCGACGCGGTGAAGGGAGAGATCGAACAAGATGACGCGCTGGCGATCGATGCGCTGTGTGGGCTCGAATTTGGGGCGTCGGGCGCGCCCGAACGGCGAGTCAAGGTGGAAAATGTGCGTAATTCGTGCCATATCTTCTTCGCGCGGGACCGGGATGACGGCGAATCGCACGCGTTCGCGGCGCGTGCGACGCGCGCGCGCGATGATGGGCGTCGCGATGACGTGCGACTGACTTTTACGGCGCGTGTTTTCGCGACGCAGGGCCTCGATCTCGTCGCCTCGCAGCTCGCGGACGCGCCCGAGGGCGACGCCGACTGCGACGTGTGCGGCGCGAGCGGGAACGAAGACGCGATGATCCTGTGCGATGGGTGCGATCGAGGGTGCGTATACGACAATGCCACGCGAGAACGCGCGCGTGAAAATTATCTCGATCGTTCGGACGCGCGTTCGGGGAGAGAGAGCGCTCGCGCGGCGCGCGAGGGCGCGGCGAACGCGCGCGTGGGCGACGGTTAGACGTGGGGTTTAGAGGCGCGCGGGGGAGAAGGAGCCGCGAAGGAGCGACGAGACTGACGAATGATGCGCGCGTAGGTCACATATGTACTGCTTAACGCCGAAGATGACTGAAGTGCCGAGTGGAGAGTGGTTTTGTGGACGATGCGAAGAGATTGACGCGGAGGTGGAGCGATTGAGCGCGGATGAAGGGACGCAGTTTACGCTCGGCGATTTCAACGAGGCGTGCATAGAATTTGATACGGCGTTCTTTGGCGAGGACGCCAAGCGAACTGGGATCGATATGCAGGTGATTGAGGAGTGTTTCTGGCGAATGGTTGAAGATGCGAGCTCGGTGGATGATGTTTGCGAGGTCAAATGCGGCACGGCGATTGACACGACAAAGTACGGAAGCGGGTTCCCGAGACACGGCGAAGCGCTTCAGGTAAAGATTGACGGCGTGAGCCCGGAATCTATCAAGCGCTGGTCAGAGTCGAAATGGAATCTCAACAACGTCGCGCGCGCGAGTGGGGAAAAGTCGTCGCTACTGGGCGCGTTGAAGGATGACGTGGCGGGCGTGACGACGCCATTCTTAGAAGTCGGAAGCACGTTTAGTTCCACGACTTGGCGTCGAGAAGAGCATAACATGTACAGTATCACTTACAATCACTGGGGTGCCGCGAAACTGTGGTACTGCGTGCCGGCGAGTGCAGCGGACAAGTTGGAAGAATGCTTCCAGAAGGTGATGCCCGACGTCTACGAGGCGCACGTCAACGATTTGGGAAGCGTCTTTACGATGCTCTCGCCGAGCTTCTTGATGAGCGCGGGAGTGCCCGTGCACACGTTGGAGCAATTCCCAGGAGAATACGTGGTGACGTATCCCGGGGCGTACTACGCGTCGTTCAACTGTGGATTGAACTGCACGGAGAGCGTCAACTTTGTGCCCGCTGACTGGCTCCCAGAGGGCTCGGCGAGCGTGGAGAGAAACCGATCGTACGCCAAGCGTTCATTGTTTAGTCACGACGAGTTGGTTTGCAGAGTAGCAAACAATCCTAGTTCGAGCATAGCGCCGCACTTGTGGCCCGAGATTGCGCGCTTGTACGCTGAAGAGGCAAACGGTCGCGCCGAGCTTTTCGCGTCTGGCGTGACGCGCAGCGCGCAAATGACGTCAGCAGACGACGACGACGACGACGATGGCTGCGAAAAGCCTCGTAAAGTACGATCTAGGTTTGACGATGCATCGAACTCTGGATCCGATGAGTGCGTTGTTTGTCGACACATTTTGTACTCGTCTGGCGTCGGGTGCTCGTGCGACGAGACGCGCAAGGCGTGCTTGCGACACGTCAACGACTTGTGCAAATGTGCGATGTCGAAGAAGACGATGTTTTACAGAGAAACAGTGGCTGATTTAGAAAGTCTGGTGAAGAAGACGGAGAAGGCGCTTTCTCAGAAGGAACTAGCCAGCTTAAAATCCAAGCACAGCGACTTGGACTCAGTCACAGTGAACAAGAATCTCGTCAAGAAGGCTCAGGCTTGGGTGAAACGAGTGGGCGAAGAGCTCGTCAAACCACCTTTGCCGCCGCTGGACAAGATGAGAAATTTACTCGCTGCGGGTGAAGAGTTTATTTGGGGTGGTGCTGATATGAAGGCGGCTCGAGAAGCGTACACTCGCGTGACGAACGCCGTCGCGTGGCAGACGAGTCTTGTGGCGCTGAAGCAAAGGCTTGGATCCAGTGCTGGTGCCGAGGCCGCGCACGATGACGCTGGTGAAGCGCGATTGAGATTGAACAGACTAAAAGAGCTCCTTGACAACCCACCGGTACCGATGCCTAAGGCTGATACTCAACCTTTCCGCGATTTGCTCGCGGCGGGCTTGAAATTGGAGGAACGCATCAAGGCGGCTCTCGCCGAGGTACCGAATCCATCTCCTCGCGCTTGTACGACGCTTCAAACTGAAGCGAATAAGTTTGGTGTGGAAGTCCCTTCATATAAAAAGCTGAAGGACGTCATCGTTAGAGCAGGCGCGTGGTCCACGAAGGTGCGCGGCGCGCTTCCAGGACGACGACAACTCCCGCCGCGCGAGGAACTAGCGAATGCTCGAGAGATCGAGGCGTTATACGAAGAGGCGCATGGATTACCCGTTCAGCAGAGCGAACTCTTGACTTTGCGCAAATCTTTAGAAGAGTTGAATTTTTGGCGCGCAAAGTCTGAGTCGCTGTTCGTCGCCAAGGTTGACGTGGAAGAAGCCGAGGCGCTTCTCAAGGAGGGCATGGCGTTGTCAACAAAACTCGACGAGGTCGACAGACTAGCCGATCAAATCAAAGCTGTCAAAGTGTGGGCCGATCATGCTCGAGCGAGTGATTATCCGGGAGCAAGAGTGACGGATTTGCACATGCTTCTCGTCGAGGGTGAAAAGTTTAGCGTGCGAGTGGACGAAGTCGAGTGGTTGCGAAACCGTATCGTCGTCCGGGAGCTGGCAGAGAAATTGAAGGACATGGTTTCATCGAAGAAATATCCGCTCGCCGAAGTCGAAGCGGCCGTGCGGGCGGGTAACGAGTTCCTCGACTCCGAAGATAAAGAGGTTGCCCCAGATGAAGAAGCGCTGCTGGCGCAGTGCGAGAGCCACATCAACGCGGCGAAGAAGTGGAACGAGCGCGCGGCGGTGATGCTCAAATCTCTCGATAGTAAGGACCGACCGTCACTCGAAGACGCCGCGTCGCTCATCCGCGAAGGAAGCTCGATTCCAATCTTTCTGAATGGATTCGACGTGCTTTCAGAAGCGGTCAATGTAGCCAAGTCTTGGTTGGATCGTGCACAACCTTGTTTGAAGGGAAAGCAGCTCACTCGTCGCGGTGTGTCAAATCCGATTCCGCCGCTTTCCGAGGCGCAAGAGCTCATGAAAGAGTCTTCGAACTTGAAATTGTTTGTCAAGGAAGTTGAAGCTTTGGAAGAACGCGTCGAAGCCGCAGAAGAGTGGGACGTGGACGCGAAGGACGCCATCGAGCGCTGGCGAGAAGACGGCGCCGAGGTGACGTTGACCGAGCTTGAACTTTCGCACGAAGACTTTGGATTAGAATTACCAGCCATGGAGACAGTTCGCATTCGTTTAAAGTCGCTCAAGTGGGAAGAACGCGTCGCTAAGATCATTGCACCCAAGGCGAAGCTCGTCGAGGACACCGTTTTGGACGAGCTCAGGGAAGAAATCGACGTGCTTCAAGACTTGAAAGAGGATCTTGTCGCTGAAATCATGAAACGGTACACGATTGTGGACGAATGGCGCAAGAAAGCGGATCGTTTGCTCGATCCTCCTCTCCTTGAAGACGGTCGATTGGCTCCGAGTGCATCACCGGAGGAAATAGACGCCCTCATCGCCGAAGGCAAGGCACTTCCCGCTGACGTCTCGAAGGTAGAAGACCTCGAGGCGTCGTTGGCGGATCACGCACAGTGGGTCGACACCGTTCGTAAGTGCTTGAACAGTGTCGCTGAAGGTCGATCTCGCCCTTCGATTGACGAATTATACGATC